GGGCGGGGAAATGCCAAAGACGGCAACGGAACAAATAGTGATCCCGACTGTAACGTCACAGTCGGTGTTATGTTCAGATTCGCCTATTTTTCAGTGGTCTTTTGAATGCACAAGATTTACATAAGAAAGAGGAAACAATGGTGTTTGTTCATGGTATGTCATTTCTGTTATTATTCAACTATGCCAAGGTAAATACAGTTTTCCATTCTATGGCACCTTTAAAGTAAAAAATTAATCAAGTTAATGATTTTCTTTGAATTTAATCCCTAAACATTTTTTAATAATAAAATAATATATTAAAGGGATAGTTCACCCAAAAATGAAAATTCTGTCATTAATTACTCACCCTCATGTCGTTCCAAACCTGTAAGACCTTCGTTCATCTTCGGAACACAAATTAAGATATTTTGGATGAAATCCGAGAGCTCTCTGACCCTCCCATAGACAGCAAGGTAACTACCATGTTCAAGGCCCAGAAACGTAGTAAGAACATCTTTAAAATAGTGCATGTGACATCAGTGGTTCAACCGTAATTTTACAAAGCCACAAAAATACTTTTTGTGTGCAAAGAAATAAAAAATAACGACTTTATTCAACAATTCTTCTCCCCCGAGTTACCATCTACCGCCATTATTGAGAGTAACATGACGTTGAATTTTTTTTTTTTTTTGCGCACAAAAAGTATTATCATATCTTCATAAAATTACGGTTGAACCACTGATGTTCTTGGTATTTTTCTGGGCCTTGAACGTGGTAGTTATCTTGCTGTCTATGGAGGGTCAGAAAGCTCTCAGATCTCATCCAAAATATCTTAATTTGTGTTCCAAAGGACTTACGGGTTTGGAACGACATGAGGGTGAGTAATTAATGACAGAATTTTCATTTTTGGGTGAACTATCCCTTTAATAGTAATTATTATCGTACAATATAAAAATATAAATATTGTTTTTATCCTTTAGGAAATGCTGGATTTCGTGCACACTTCCCCGCACTGTTTGAACCAGTCCTGGATGGCACACAAAACGCAGAAGAGGACGAAGGGAGACCAGAAGAAAAGGAAGACGAACGTGACGTGGGAATTAGTGTGGAGATTCAGATTGGACGTAAACTGCGTGAAATGGGGGATCAGTTTCAGCAGGATCATCTTCAGCTGGTAAGAGTGATTTCAAATGAGACTAGTTAGTTTCTTTTCCTCAAGGCCGATTTGAATCAAACGGGTTAAACAGTTCCACAGGTGTTTGTGCACAAAGTCTGTGGTTTTCATTGCAGTGGTTTCTGTCACGATGTGCAATGACATCATCGTCTGTTATTTCAATGCTGCATATGCAAATGTTCAGTGGGAGAGATGACATCATTATTGGTTTAGCCATCCTGTTTACTTAAGTTCTCTTAGATCTTATCAAATCGACACCAATAACTTTACAGTAAATGATGGAAACGTTTAATCACTAGTTGATGTTTATATAACAACTTTATGTATAAAACAAAGTCCTATAACAATTTTTTAAAACTTTTTAAACTATTTATTAAACTACAGTCTGCATGACTATTGAAAACATCATTGTTTGGTTTTAATTAAGGTTTGTGGTCAAGTTACATTAGTTTAAAGTGTTTTTGAGGTCCGGGGGTTAATAACAATGATATAGGAGAGTATACTAATTTTGAAAAGTGCCATTTTTTAAAATTAAAAACAGCAGATGAAAACAACATGGTCTGCTTCAATAAAGTGATGAGTTTTAGTTTTGCTAGACGTAAACATTTTCCACGTGTGAGAGTTATTCACATTTATTCATTCTTTTATTCAAAGTGACTTTTAACGCTTACTTGTATGAGAGAGGAGGGATAAAGTTAGATTTATCAAGGTCTTCAGTAAATGCCAGTTGAATTTAGTGTCTACCCAGGCCGGCTATAGTTTGTGTGTGAGCTCAGAAAGAGGATGTGAAGTGTGTTTATACTGCAGGCTAAATTTAGACTCTGACTCAAGGTCCACGTCAGCAGGCATGTGACCGCAATCTCAAAAGTAGGCTAATGTAACACCTTTAGTAACACTCTGTTATGTTGCTGAGCCGCTACAACTGAGATGTTTTAATGCACTTACAGATTGTAGATTTTATAGACCGTGAAATGTGTGGAAATCAGCCGCCATGAGCTCAGAATCAGATACGATCAAAAACTGAAACTTCTTGTTCTCACAGATCAAACGGGCTGAATAATTTTAATTTAAAAACTTGAAAGATGACAGTCCAACTAGGAATAAATGGGTCAGGATCATTTAAATTGGTTAATCATAATTACAGTTTGCTAACTCTTTTAAATCCAGCATGCCTTCAGTAAGAGCGCCAGCTTATGCAATACACTGCAATACTCAAGAACTACAATACATGCCCACAACACAGCTGGCCTGACTGCTGATTGGCCGCTTTAACTGTCCATCAGGGAGATTTAGAGGGAAGGGGAGGAGTTTGAAGTGAAGCTTGAGACCAGAGCGCCATCTAATGGCAGACACATGCCATTTTGACTCGGTTTACTTTCTTAATAGATGCTCCTGGTCTTACTGAGCATGATTTTTAAAAAATAACTTTCCTTTTCCACACGGGGAAAATAAAGTTAACCAATAATTTAATTTCTATTAAGTCATGATTGGCATTTTAGGTTATTAACGTAAGTAATGGAACCTTCTAAAAACACTTTCCTTAGAAATATGTCACATTATGGAAGTAAAATGGGCTGTGAATGCCTATTGATGTGGACTTTAATGCAATTAATTAATTACATTTTTAAAAGATATAGTTTTATAATAATGCCTCTCTTGGCTAATAAAATGCAATGTCTTCTTTAACATACGTTACATTTTTTTACCTGATTATTTTTGGTTTATTTTTGTGCAGTTCACTCAAAGGGGCCAGATGGGTTTGTTCCAGCTAGTGACGACACTCTATAACTTCCTTTTTCCTCAAGAAAGACCCCAAAATGCAAGAGCCCAGAGATGAGAGGCCACGGCGCACCTGTTCAGGACCCAAATGAGTTTTACACAGCACTGTAAGATTTGCGCAGATCTGGATTTACCTGGCTCTAAAAGAAGGTTGCCGCTGGTCGGAGACTTCCCTCTTTTTTCTGAAGAAGCCATTCTCAAAATGGAGCATTGGAGGAAATTTTCTGCAGGTTGCATATCAATATGAAGATATTAATATTCTGCCTTATGTTTCCCCAACACGTTCACATACGAGCAGATCTTAGCGCCTTAATAAAACCCCCAGAAGAAGAAAGAACTGCTTTAATTGGCAACAAGCTGTGAGAGTACTCGAGGTCAACAGCATTTGAGTATTTGTGCTGACTTCAATACACCTACTGAACGCTGATGCATCCCAGAACGGCTTATGCTTGATTCACTGCTGTTAACAGTGTTATTGGGACAGAGTTGAAGGACAGAACGGACGTGACGCGACACAAGCCAGAGGCCAGTAACATGCTTCTTAAAGGACTGACACGGAACTGAAAAAAATTTGGTCAAATGCAGAAAAACAACTTGAACATCAGGTTTTAATACCTGTATAACAACAATGAGCCATTTCTGAGAACAAGGAGACAAATATGAATTATGTGATTTTAAAAGGGTCATGTTTTCTCATTAAGTTGCGGTTTACAATTTTACATGGTTTGCTTGTGCATTATCGATAGTTTATAAAATAATGTCGTCGGTGTGAATATAATACAGACAGTCAGAGTCCACAAAATCCACATCATTCCTTTGCAATTATTCCGATTTCAGACCATTTTCCACAAGACTTTCCACGGAGGTGATGTTCCAGTGCTGTGATGTGTTCTGACAGGTGTGCCTCAAATGCTTGTGTATTGGGAACAATGTCACTTGCAGACAATCAAACAGCTGAAGGTGCCTTAGAACAGCAGGCCAAACGATGAAGGTTTGATATCATCATCATCATCACGCTGGGCTTCAGTCACGAGTACCCAAACATGTGGATTATAGATCATAAACGAACAAGTATCGCAGCCGGGTGAATAAATACCTCCACCTAAACAACAGGGAGCTCAGGCAGACTCTCAAAGAGAATCTGAAGTGATGATTTGCAGGAACAGGCTGCTGCTGCTGCCTCATTCATCTGAAATGCCCTTTCAAATGCACTCGTCTCAAAGTTGTCAGAGGAGTTAAAATGTCAAGCTGTTTTTACTTTGTTTGGAATGTGTACGGGACGTTACTGCTGGTTCTTTTTCAATTTTCCTACTTAAAAATATTATACAGTTTGATAAATATATGAAATGCTGTTATAAATTTGTGAAATAAGATGTCTTTTTTTACGTATATCATAAATGCTGTAATTTAAATGCTGACACTTTTTCTGCAATGTTCACCGCATTAAAATATTTATGGATACTCATTTGAGGTCTGTTTGAGATTATTTTTCAATTTGAGAGATTATATATAGCCTACTGTATATATTATTAAAATATAAAATTTTTAAATAATAAAATGTATGATTACTATGAATGGGATTGCTCTTAATTATGATTACCATAAATAGTAATCATAGTTAATTATTGTAAAATTATAGTTAAGTAATAATAATAATTATATATTGATAATATAGATTAATATTTTATTAAATATAATTTAATATAATGTATAATTCTACAATAATTATATTATTCATTATATTTGCATTGTAATATATTTTATTTCATTATATTTTATTATAATTGTATATATAATTTCACGAAAATATAGAACTATATAAATATTATTTATTTTAAAATAATACAATTTATGATTACTATTAATTGTAATAATAATAAGAAGAATATGGGTGTTACTGAAAAGCATGGCATTGTATTATTCAGTGTCAGGTACAATAGGCAGATAGTAATAATACTAAAACATTTTACAAAACATTTATTTTATTTTAAAAATAAAATATAACAGTAATGTGCTTTATAGGTTAGATTTGTTTTATTACAATTTGTTCAGGTGGTCTTTTTAGAACTTTAATTAAGGTAAAAAAGAAAACTGTATAAAAATAAAGAAAGTTATTCAGTGCTTATTACTGCATAGATTGACACCAACACAGTATATTTAAATGTGTTGAGCTTTGGTTTCTATTCTTAAATTCACGCAATACTGAAATGCTCCACGTTCTTATGGGTTTCATCGTAGGATTTTTTTCAAACTTTCAATGAAAAATTGTTTAGAGAAATAAGACATTTTAAATGTTAACATTAATAATTTAAATCATCAATTGATAAACTAGTTAAAAAATTAGAATATATCCTACTTGAGATGATTAGTGATCAAATAAACACAAATGATCACACCATACAAACAAACACCTGATCATTCCCTGGCTGTTATAAACACTGGACTCAATTCAAACACACACACACACACACACACAATACAGCATTACTCAAAGGTCCCAAGGCAAAGAATAAATCAAAATTCAAGACCAGATGAAAACTATAAAAGATAAACATGCCACACGATCCGTCCTGCGATCACATTAGAGTTTGGCTTCAAAAGCTTGTGCCAGTGATGCTTCCACATGGATCTGCAAACACAAAACACATCACTATTAACAGATATCACAGTAAAACGGCGTCCCCTGGTGGCCACAAACCAGTTTCATGCACACATCCGCAGTTAGTATGTTAGTGGATTAAATGAAGGATAAATGTTAGTAGTACACATCGAACAACCAAACTACAATGACCTGGCACACACGTACAAAGCTCAAGGGTGAAGCGTTCAGATAGAGCAGGCAAAAAAATCATGAACATTGGACTCTGAAAGAGAATCAAAAGAACATCTGAATCACTTTATAAGCGATAATTAAAATGGGTCTCATTGAATGTGAATCAGAAGGGCTGATCGCGTGTGCCACCCATACCTGAACCACAGTGAGCAATAAAATCAAGCAGTGATTGATTGATCACATGTGTGTGGAGGGGTGGAGAGACGTCCCACTGTGATCCTGAACGTCTGACCTGCCCAATGCTGCCTGTAGACACACACACACACTGATCTGTAAACATGAATGGATTTGGACAGATAGGAAACTAGAAGAGAGAATGAGACGATCAGAGGAGGTTGAGTTAAAAACATCCCATTCATGATGAGTGGAAAATAGAATAGAATAAGTGGAAAAATGGAAAGGAAGAACCGGATAAGTGGAAAAGAGGAATGAGTTTTTTTTTTTTCAGTTTTTTGAAAGAAATTAGTACTTTTATTCACCAAGAACACTGAGAATTGATCATTTCTATCGCCCTACACCTAAACCTACCCCTTACAGGAAACTGCTGGCAATTTTTTAATTTCATAAAACACCGTTTTGTATGTTTTTTAAGCCTTTTGTTTTACGGGGACACAGGAAGTGTCCTCATAAACCATGTTTACGTTGTAGTACCCATGTCATTATACACATTTGTGTCCTCATAAACCATATACCTGTACACACACACACACACACACACAGATCTGTAAACATGAATGGATTTGGACAGATAGGAAACTAGAACAGAGAATGAGATGATCAGTGGAATAAAAGGTTGAGTTAAAAACATCCCATTCATGATGATGAGTGGAAAATAGAATGGAATAAGTGGAAAAGGGAGAACAGTAGAAAAAGAGCAATGGGAAGAGTATGATTTTTTTGTTTTTTACAGAAATTAATACTTTTATTCAGCAAGAATGCATTAAATTGATCAAAAGTGACAGTAAATACATTTAGAATGTTAAAAAAGATTTATTTTTCAAAAATTCTGTTTGTTTATTTATTTTTCTACTTTCTATTTCTCAGAAACACTAAAAAAAATATGTCATGGTTTCCACAAAAATATGAAGCAGCACAACAGTTTTCAAAAATTTATAATACTCAGATTTTTTTTTTTTTTTTGAGCATCAAATTAGAATGATTTCTGAAGGATCATGTGACACTGAAGACTGGAGCAATGATGCTGAAAATTCTGATTTGCATCACAGGAACAAATTACATTTTCACATAGAAAACAGTCTTAATTTAAAATTTTTTTGATTTTTTTTTTTTTTGATTAAATAAATGCAGCCTTGGTGTGCATAAGAGACTTCTTTCAAAACCATTTATAAAATAGTACCAACTCCAAACTTTTGAATGATAGTGTAGTGTTTATGAGAGGAAAGAGGCAATGAAGTGGAAAAACAGCAGGATAATGGGAAATTAGAAAGAGAGTGTGAATGGGATGTGTGGAACAAGAAAACATGACATGGCGTGGTGTAAAGGTGACCAGGACTGATGGTGAAGAACAGGATGAAATGTGTTTATAGAGTTGGTGTGAATCTCAGAGCATTTCCCGTGTGTCATCAAATCACAGCGCTGGATTGTCAACACAATAAAAAGTTCAAAAGCGCCACAGGAGCTGCTAGAGGCCAAAGACCCTGGAGAATACGCAGTAACACAGTCATGTTCCTGCTGTGGATGTTTGAAACAACAGCTATCAAACCAAAACCACCTTTGAATGAACACTGGAGTTCGGGTTAAAACAAAACAACACAGAAACGTGAGACAGAAACAACTGGAGTGTCATTTTCTCTAGTATCTGCAGCATATGTTAGTGGGCATAAAAAGATTTCTGCTGCATCAATCTGACAAACAAGAGACACACCAGCAGAAAACACAAAACATGAACGTATTCCTGGATGGGAAGGTCATGAAAACCTTAATCTGATTTCTATCACAATATATCGCATATAATGTATAAAGTGTAATTGTAAAGTGTAATTGCGTAAATGTTTTGCTGACAAGTTTGGTTTGATACTTACAGCTGCCAGTGCTTGCTGGTTTGCCAACTGTCTGCGCAGATCCGACTTGATACAAGCTGAGATAAAGAACAGAAACGCAATGAGACGCACATAATTACAGCTTTAACATTCAGTGTACTCTCTACTAAAATGACTGATGCAACCTGTAAGCTCTAGTCTATCTAATCAGTATCTGAATTGTGAATATAAAATAGATGAATCCCTCAAAGAACATGTCCAGGTCACATTTCATCCCGAAAATCAAAAGAAATAAATAAGAAATAATTTTTTGATTTATTATATGAAGTCTATTTTTATGCATTGTGAAATTATTTTTATTACAATTAAATATTGCTCCCTTAAAAATGCAATAAATATTATATTATTTAAATAATGCAATAAATATTCACCCTAAAATGGATTTGATGCTCTTTAGGCAAAATAATAATAATAATGATAATTATTATTATAAAGATAATACAAAATAAAAACTAATAATAATACTAATAATGTGGAAGATCATTCTGATTGGACCTTTGAGATGCAAGTCTTTGTCAACAGAGAAACAAAGTTTAAAAGTAATTAAACTTTGTACCTCTATGCATAAATGTTATAAGAAGGACTATATAATTACTCCCCATGAACTTTAATTGCCTGGAAAATTAGTTGAATATTAACCAGTAATTATAACCATTTAAATAACCGCAGCCAACATTATAATTGTAATTAACACATTATACAAGTTTATAACATTTAAAATATGTGCCAAGATGTACAACTCACAAACTAATCTGAAGCAATACAGACATCACACACTCTGTGTTTGTACCCTGAAGGATTCTGGCTGTAACCGTCCCACAACAATGTTGCTTTTTCTACATTTACATAACCCAGCGGTTTTTTTTTTCTGTGTTTAATAGCTCATACATTAACTGAAACATTAGAGGACACTGCAGCTTTCATAATGTCACATGAATTTTAATATACAATGCTTTCCAAGGAGCATTATCATCACCAGGAAGGAAGCAAAACATTCAAAATTAATTATAGTTTATAGGACCGGAGTAAAAAATTATAAACAGTTTCACAATCCCTCAAATATAAGCTCTATACTCGATTAAAGAGGAACAAATACCCAGGTAGATGAGTATTGAACAATCTGCACCTGTAATGATGGTTCCTATCAGCAGGAAGGCACACAGGAAGAGATTTCCAGCCAGAGTATTAAACGAATCCATGATTTTCCCCTGACAGATTGTAAATATGATCCCGAATACCTGCAGCAAGAAATCACAATCATTAGGAATACTGGTAACTCCATATAAACTCATATAAATCTCAATACAAAATAAGACACAACTCTTATAAACAACATAATTATTATGAAATATCACACGCAAACCTGTGCAGAGCAGTTCAGAAGTCCTGAAGACGTCCCCTCAGACTCTGGGTAAGTCAATTCGACAGCAAACTCAAAACCAAGTGGAAGGTAACCCGTCATGAAGAACCTGCATAAGTAACACACAAACAAAACATCTAGGGCAAATTTATATATATATCTATATATGTAGACAGAGAGCGGGAGAGAGAGGTTTTACTGTAACACATATATTACAAAACAAAACAGAAACAAACTATAACAACAACAAAGAAAGAAAAAAATTTAGACGTTTTCCATTTTAACTCTTCTTGTACCCGAGGGTTCCTGCAGTGATGAAGACCACCCACAAGTGACCCAGATCCAAGGTAAAAGCATAAAGCACCAAACCCACAAGCGACATCAGATACACGGCTAGTGTTGTTTGTCTGTGGAGACAAGACATAACAGAGACATGGGACAGGTTAAATCTTTCATCAGGATCCAACATTTAGATCCGAGTATGACTGGACAAATGAGTTTGATCATGTCATTCTTAGCAGCTGCACATACATGTAGATCCAGAAATAACATTTCACTTGATTTTGTAAAACAGCATCTGCTAAGTCTGAATCTAACATTATCTTGGCGTTTCATCAACTATGAGCACTTTAAAGAATTATTAGTGGAAAAATTGTTGCTTTTGTTGGAAATGATGGCACAACTGTGGGACAGTCATAATATGTGTAACAAAATATATCAATAATGTTCACATAATAAAAATAAAATGATTTATGATTGCTTTACTCTTTGTTTAGAAATTTAGAAAGTTTAAAAATTTAATATTTTTATCATGGTATTTCATATTTTTAAGACTGAACAAATCAATAAAATCTACACTACTGTTCAAAGTCTTTTTAAAATTAAAATTTGTTTTTTTAATTAATACTATTATTCAGCAAGGACGCATTAAATGTATTAAAAGTGACAGTGAAGACATTTATAAAAGATTTATATTTCATATAAACGCTGTTCTTTTGAACTTGCTATTCATCAAAGAATCCTGAAAAATAAAATGTATTACAGTTTTTACAAAAATATTAAACAGCACAACTGTTTTCAGCATTGGTAATAATAATAAATTTATGGCAAATCAGCATATTAGAATGATTTCTGAAGGATCATGCGACACTGAAGACTGGGGTAATAATGCTGAAAATTCAGCTTTGATCACAGGAATAAATTACATTTCAAAATATATTCAAATAGAACATAGTTATTTTAATTTGGAATAATATTCCACAATATTGCAGTTTTTAATGTTCATTCAGACTTGGTGAGAATAAGAATGTTATTTTTAGCAACATCATATGACCCCTTTAAAAAAAATTGACTGACCACAAACTTTTGAACGGTATAGTGTTTACATAAAAAGTATTTGAAAAGTAGCAAATGTAAATATCAGTGAACTCCAGTGACACAATATTGTCTGAAGTTGAAGAAACACCCACCACATTATTAATTTGTCATTTCAGTGCAGTATTGTGTGTGGAAAGTGTCAACAGTGTTTCCCACAGACTTACACTCTATGTGTGGCGGCACTTCGCCTGGGGGAAATATATATGTATATAATGTAAATATAAAAAAGCAGACGGGCTTATTGAAAGTGCAAATTCACACTCTTACAGCAGGAGGCGCTTTAAGAGCGGCAGAAATAGCGGTTTCCCTGGTAACGGCAGAACACAAAGCAGCCCTGTGCTCATAAACGCTGCTTTATTAGGCATTATAGGAAAGATTAAATGAAAATTACATCAAAACTTTTCTGAAGACAATCGGTTCCCTTCAAAAAAGATACATTTATATAAAAACCCCCATGCCGCGTTTTGACTTTGAAACGTGCCAAAGTCAAAGCCTTTTGGAAAATCTATTTGTGGCGGGCCGCCACAAATAAATCAATGTATGGGAAACCCTGGTCAAGGTAAGTTTTTACACTAAGACATTTTGTCCTTCATTCTGCTGAACAAAAGAAACATCACAATGTCCAGGAGGGGAGGGCATGCTGCGAGGGGTCAAATACACTTAGACAAAAGGTCACGGGGTCACTAAGGTCTAGGTTCATGGGTCAGTGATTCAAACACCTGGACAAACACACTAAACCAAAGCATGTGAACAGACTCATGGGGGGGAAGGACTCAATAACACACTTATCTTCAAGGAGGAATGAAGACAAACATTTATCGAGCACTGTCGCTGTCTGGACATTTCAAGATTAAAATCCAGCCTCTTACTTGTATGTCTTAGATCGGTCTAACCAGATCCCACAGATGAGGGATCCCACCATGCCAGCGATCACGATGGTGAGGCCGATCCTGCCGGCGTTCACCTCCTCTCCCTGTTCAAAACAGAGCAAATATTCACTTGCATTCCAGTGGAGGCTGGTGGAAAATTTTCTAGGTAGGGCGTCATATCCAACAATTTTTGCATACATCCCAGTATGATTTATCCCAGTATAACAAAAGGAAAAGTATTAAGACTTGAAACATTTTAAATAAAGATAATTGTTTTACCAAGTTCAAGATTAGGTTTGAGGATGATTCTCACAAAACTAAAAAATTAATTCAGTTATTATGTAAATTGAGTGTAGGTCAGGGGCTCTCGTGATTGGCTGGATAAGAGGTGGGTTGGAGGGATCTTACAGGATAGTGTTCAATGATCATTCGGTTGAGAAGCGTACTGACAGCATAGAAACAGCCAACATTCAGCCCTGATGAAGAAAAACAGATGAAGTCAAAGACAGAAACATGCTAAAAGCATAAACTGGCAAACAGCTGATTTGGTGTGTAATCTAGTAAGCAATAAATGTCTTCATATTTCTGAAGCAGCTGTAAAGATATAAAGAGCTCTGCATTCCTGCAGGATTATTTCTGTCAATGTTCAGCCAGGTTAAATGCAGCTACAGGCTTCTCATGCAAGTGTTGCACGGGTGTGTGTGTATGTGTGTGTGTGTGTGGATAGATCATAAACTCAGTGTTAACGTAGTTCATGCCAGTCAAGGTATGACTATTTCTGTTTAGTACTTGATTTTTACTTTTTCAGAAGAAAAATAGTTATTTTCCATTTACTTGCACAATCATGCAAATTAAAATTACATTAAATTAACCTTCATGCCATTACAAGCTAGTCATATCTAATAAATGCTTAATACATATTTATGCTCTCCAAGGCTGCATTTATTTGATAAAAAATACAGTAAAAACAGCAGTATTGTGAAATAATAAAATACCGGTTTTCTATTTAAATATATTTTAAAGTGTAATTTATTCCTTTGATGCAAAGCTGAATTTTCAGCATCATTACTCTAGTCTCCAGTGTCACATGATCCTTCAGAAATCATTCTATGATGCTGATTTGCTGCTCAAGAAACATTTCAGATCATTATCAATGTTGAAAAGAGTTGTGCTGCTTCATAGTTCTGTAGAAACCTTGAAACTTTTTTTCCCCGAATTCTTTGATGAATAGAAAGTTCAAAAGAACAGGATTTATTTTAAATAGAAATCTATTGTAACATTATAAATGTCTTTATTGTCACTTTTGATCAATTTAAGGCATCCTTGATGAAAAAAAATATTAAATTATTAAAAAAAAAAATTAAATGACCCCTTACTGACCCAAAGCTTTTAAAATATTCTAAAATATATATTTGAATTTAAAGGTATAACATCAAATCCACAGCAATTTACTAAAAAATTATTTTATTTTTGAGAAATCAACACTGCTATGCAATTTGGCTTCCTGGTTTAGGACTAGAAGGTGAAAAGTCAATTTTTCGGGCTCATAACCACCTTTCTGGCACCATAATCCTAGTTACAATATTCTATAATATTCAAAATATAATATAATATAATATGGATCATGTCCCTTCACTGTGTTTTTTTTTGTGAGTTTATTTATTTATTTTTTAACCATTTTTACAGTGCACAATGTGACTATGACTGTAAGTAACAGCACCTGTGTGATCTGAGGTATCATTCATGCAAGTTATCATTAGTTATGCTGAATTTTAATAGTTAGTGTTAGGAGTTTGTTCAAACCACAAACCCCATGTATGAGCAGTAACAGTCCTGCTTACATGAGCAAACACCACTGACTATAGAACTATTCATGCTTATGTTCTCAGTAACAAACTACGACTGTGTGTTTAAATGGCAGCAAGCATAATGCACCACAGTTTGAGGTCCTGAATGGATCTGTTGTGCGCAGAGTAAGACATTCACCGTAAGTGATGACGAGGAGGATGAAGGCTTTGTTGCGGAGCAGCCTGAGGATGGATCCTGTATACGAGTAGCTCTCTGGAGAGATCCTCCGAGCTGCGGCTTGAGCGTGGGTGGGAGGGATCTCCGGACGCTCCTGAAACACTGATGAGAATATAAAAACACAAACTCTTCTAGTCACCAGTCACATACTGTACATCAAAGAACTTTTCATTTACATCTCGTCATTGTCTGGCGGAAGTCTCATATATCCTTTTTTTTAAATATATAAATCAATGCTATTGGTCACTCTTTATGCCTATATGTGGGTTTTATATATATGTAACCAATAAAAAGTATTAAAAAGAGCTTGTGACTGAACCTTGTAACTCCATAGGATCCCTAAACTGTCGGCAAAATCTCATAGTTTAAAAGAAAAGTCATTAGAAATAAGTTCCAAAAAAAACAAAATCTAAAGAATGAAATTAAAGTCAATTATGTTGGTGTATTTAATACAAGAGGGGCATTTGGGTGGAAATCTTCTTGAATTTAATGTTTTGACATCTGTGAATGTTTGTGTTTGAGTAAACATGTAGCCTGCTGTCCCCAAAACTGCAGGTGACTGAACTCTGTGATATTTGCTCTATCAAACATACTCTAAATATTAAAAAGTCTTCAGCAGGATTTAAGTTGTAGAGCTATGAGACAGAAACACTAGAATCTGCTGTGTGTGTTCTTAACTAAAGTTACATAACAGACCAGCTAAAGTGGTTATTTTGAGGGAAATTGGTAGAAAAGTTCACCCAAAAATAAAAATTGTCATGATTTAACTCACCAACATGACTTTCTTTATTGCATTGAAACCCAGGTGTACATTGCTATTCAATGAAAGTAAATAGGGAGGGAAACTCAAACAATTACAAAAAGTATTATGAAAGTACAACATATGACTATGACCGACAGACTTTAAATATAGTGCACAAATAGTATGCACAACTTTCACGTTGCTTGTATTAAACGTTTTATTTAGTGCTTAACAGGGCATTTGTTTTCCAAAAAAAAAGAAGTAATTTTAAAAAGTGAAAAGTGAAAGTGCGAGTCCGACTCTCTAACCATTAGGCCACGACTTCCCCACAAATTTTGTGTTCAATGAAAGAAAAAGTCATACAGGTTTAGAAAAAGACTGTGTCAATTTTTGGCCGAACTGTCCCTTTAACACTTTAAAATGTCTTGTGATTTTACTTTATTCAATTATCTAGACAAGCATTTTTGCTTGTGAGAACAGAACTGAATGCACGTGAGTGTTGCTCAGAATGTGACAGGAGGTTTTGTGGCCTCGTCAAGATAAAAATGGGCGGCTCAGCATTTAAACAGCTGAATGAAGAGCATATAAAGAGTAAAAAGAGAGAGAGCAAAATGGGTTAAAACTGAAAAAAGAAAAAAAAAAAACTCATTTCCCCTTCTGTCATTTGGGCTAAATGTCAGATAATCATTAGCACTAACAAACTCCATTTACACTCGTACAAGCAGACTAACAAAATAACAGGCGTTATGTGCCAACAAACAATCATTTATATGTTAGGTTGCAGCAAAAAGTAATATACTACTGTAATATTATTACTTTTGTAATGCGTTACTCCCAACACTGTGTATAAACTATACACAAAATTTGTCTATGTACATGCAAGAAGAAGAACAGCATGAGACTCATCAAAAAGAGGAACAGACAGACACTAAAAGACAATCAACACCCCAAACCTGATGAGCAATCTCACTTTATGCTGCATCCGAATCTTCACTGAACCTCTTAAATTACTGAAACTCTATACATAGGCAGCAACTCCCCATGCCACACAAATAGACTCACAATCGATTTAATTTAAGCATGCTGCCAAAATAACAAGACTACAATAACAATAGTGTAATTGACGTTTGCGCTTACCAATGACAACCAACACAAACAGGAAGGTGGCCACTCCCGCCGTGATGTAGAACATGACTCTGATGTGAGCCGCTAACTCGTCCAGATCGTCCACATTTGGAACCAGTATTGGCGGAACAAGGAAGCCTATGGCGATCCCCAACTGAATGAAAACAAACATTTCAAAGGTTACATTAAGTACATGAATGTGACCTTTCCAGCTAGGCTTGATTTCAAACATAGCTGTGCTTTTTTAAAACTGCACTCGCTTTGTTTCACTCCGCTTCCTAGTTTTCTCTGTTGCGAATCAGTACACCGTGAATATAAATTTGGGAACTAGCAAAGGCCTGTTCCACTTAATACTTGGATTCTAAAGACTCATAAGTGTCATGCAATTATGTGGTTGCACATTAAAACACTACTGGTATTTATTAACAACATTGTTTCATCCTGTGGTCGTACTCGATTTTTGTTGGCTTAAAACAGGGGATTTTAAACTGGGTTCCAGGGACCCAATAAAAAGTTCTGAAAAAAATAAAATAAATAAATAGAGTAAACAATGTAAAAAAAAACAAACAACAAACATATACAGGTGCATCTCAATAAATTAGAATGTCTTGGAAAAGTTCATTTATTTCAGTAATTCAACTCAAATTGTGAAACTCGTGTATTAAATAAATTCAGTGCACACAGACTGAAGTAGTTTAAGTCTTTGGTTCTTTTAATTGTGATGATTTTGGCTCACATTTAACAAAAATCCACCAATTCACTATCTCAACAAATTAGAATACTTCATAAGACCAATAAAAAAAACATTTTATATACTGCTGCTGCTCAAAAGTTTGGGATCAGTAAGATTTTTAATGTGTTTTAAAGAGTCTCTTCTGTTCATCATGGCTGTATTTATTTGACCAAAAATACAGAAAAAAATAGTAATATTATAAAATATTATTACCATTTAAAATAACATTTTTCTATTTTAAAATACTTTAAAATAGAATTTATTTCTGTGATGCAAAGCAGAATTTTCATCAGCCATTACTACAGTCTTCAGTGTCACATGATCACAGATAGAAACCTTTTCTAACAATAAGTTAGATAATAAGTCACTTTTTATCAATTTAGCACATCCTTGCTGAATAAAAGTATTAATTTCTTTCAAAAAGGAAAGAAAAAAAAAAAAACGTACTGACCCCAAACTTTTGAACGGTAGTGTAC